TTTCTTCTTTCTCCGCATCCGACAGGCTCTCACAGATATCCCTGTGAACCTCAGGTCTGAACCTAAGAACGTCAACTCTCCTCCCTCAAAAAGAGGTGAATGTGACTCGGCATGCGTCTTTTTTCTCCCATTTTGGTCGCGTCGACCTTGCTCCCTCTTATCTCCGCCGTCCCCGCTGGTTCGAGCATCACCCCACCGCCACCTCTGCAGCCTTCCCAATTCACTCATTCCAACCCACGCCCATGGGCTCGACTCCGCGACTGGGTAATTGGCTCGATATGGGATATTGATCACAAACGCTTTTCTTCAAAACAATCACCGCCATCAAATATACACGATCGTTATGGCAGTGATGTAGTCCTTCGATTTAATTTGCGCCAGGCGGACGAGGCAGAAGCATTGGCTGCCGCCTCGCAGGTGCTGTATTTGGACATTTGGGCCATAACCTCGAAGTTTGTAGATATTAGACTTGCAGATGATATGGTTCGGTTTGCTTCTGATCGCTTTATGATCACTTCACTAAATTTTTTCTTAGATCCCATCGTTGTTGGACCTACTACCTTTTTCACTCCGCACTTCTTACACTCCCCTCATGGACAACCTCGCCGACGAGATATATGCCTCTTACCCCTCCCGTCACCGTACCCACTTGAACGTCGGACCAGGAATTGCAACCGGTGAACTGAAGACGATATCAAACAGCGACCTGTTCTTCCAAGAATACCAGCCGCTCTCCGTCCTTACGCAATGGATGCGCTTGATGGCATCAATGTTCTCCTCGCACGTACAGATGAGCAGCGTTGGAGTCAGCTACGAGGGTCGCGATATCCCAGCATTGCGACTCGGCACCTCTCCCGACACAGAAACCAAATCGGGCCCGCGCAAGACCATCGTCATCGTCGGCGGTACGCACGCCAGGGAGTGGATCAGTACCTCTACAATAACGTACGTTGCATACAGCCTTATCACCCATTTCGGCTATTCACCCGTCGTCACACGGTTGCTGCACGAGTATGACTGGGTCTTGATCCCAACCCTCAATCCGGATGGATACGTCTACTCATGGGAATCAGACCGTCTGTGGCGAAAGAACCGCCAACCAACGGGCCTTCCACTGTGCCCGGGTGTCGATTTAGACCGCGCCTGGGACTACGAGTGGGACGGCGAGTCCACTCGCTCAAACCCGTGCTCAGAGAACTACGCCGGTGCAGAACCCTTCGAAGCAATTGAATCGCAGCGCCTGGCGCAGTGGGCTCTAAACGAGACGGTGCACGGCCGCGCTGAGATTGTAGGCTTCATCGACTTACACTCCTACTCCCAGCAAATTCTATATCCTTACTCATACTCCTGCTCGTCCGTGCCTCCCACTCTCGAGAGTCTCGAGGAGCTAGCGTTGGGCCTGGCCAAGGCAATCCGTCAGACCTCCCATGAATCATATGACGTTACCTCTGCCTGTGAGGGGATCCTCGCCGCTGCTGGGATTTCCTCGGGCGGCAGTGCGTTGGATTGGTTCTACCACAAGCTGCACGCCAAGTTCTCGTACCAGATCAAACTCCGCGACCGCGGTAGTTACGGGTTCCTTTTACCTTCGGAGCACATTGTTCCCACGGGCAAAGAGATTTTCCATGCTCTGTTGACATTTGGCAAGTTTGTCTGGGGTGAGGAGGCATCGGATCTCATCTTTGAGGACTTGATGGGTGATCAGATACCTCTGGCTGGGAGCCTGTAGGCTTTTCTCTCCTTTGATGATTGCATGTTGAATTTACGAGTAAATCCCCTTTAATTGTGGTACTTCTGGTGTTGCAGAGTCCTTGTACAGTATTTTGGCTGTTCGAGCCCAAGAATGCAACGATCATGATGCTGAACATCTTCTAGTGTACCTGTAGGGCTGGGTGCGGCAAGAAACTGAGAAAACATTCACTTTCTGCAATTTAAATATTAGGGGATGAGAGGATTACCGAAATTCATATCTACTGGCTATCTTCAAATAAGCGAGACCTCAAGAAGATTGTTGCATGCCATAATTAATCGTACGTTCATCTATCCACATATGCCAGTGGCTTCGCTTGAATGAGGCCTGATGGAAGTGCCACGTTTGGTTCTGTTCTTGAATCATGTATCAGGGGCCTGTCAAGCAAGTTATAATTAGGAAGGAAGGTAGGCCTATTTATATCATTGGCTAACACTTTGCCTATATTCACGGGCTTTCTTTTGAAAATCGTTTCTCATGATCGAAAATGTTGAAAGGCACAAGGAAGATATTAACGGCCCGCCGATGTATCCAACGACGGCCCAAACAGCGCTCAATTTTCACGGCAACAAGATAGAGGCACGTGCCCCGCATCAGAAAAGCCAGGAGACGAACTTCTGGTAGAACCAGCCAGCATCGTTATTCTTCTCTGCCTCGACCTCCTTTCTAGCGAGATACAGCGCCTCCTCGCGATCAATCTCATCCTTGCCAGTGAAGAGGTCAGCTGTCATGGGATCAACCCCCTTACAGCCGGTCACGAACTTATATCCAAAAATCATGATGAGATAGAGAGGGATACCGAGGTAAGCTGTTATGAAGTTCTTATAGTCGAACTTTCCGTATGTTTTGGGGTTGTGGATGAAGACGTCGAAGTTCTTAGTGAAAGCTATGAGAATGCAGAAAGCCAGAGCGAAGTATGAACCCGCAATCCCGAAGGGTGCTTTGTAGGCCAAGCTTTCTTCGGAAATGCCCTGGGCCGTGCGCGCGCGCACGAAGTAGATGTGAGTGACTAGGATGGAGATCCAGGTGAGGAGACCGAAGATGGTGACCAGGTTCACAAAGTACTTGAACACAGTCTTGGAATCGCTGCTAACGTTCATGTAGCCCAGCAAGGCAATGACGGCTGAGATACCCAGTGCGGGCACGGGAACGCCGCGACGGTCGGTACGGGCAAAGATCTTGGGGGCTTTACCTTCGCGGGCCAGGCCGTAGATCGTACGGGTGGCGATATACAGATCGGAGTTGGCAGCCGAGAAGACGAAGAGCAGAATGCAGGCGTTCAGAATGTGGGACAGGACCGGGATGGCGGCGAGCTCGACAGCGACCACGAAGGGCGAAGCTGCGGCTGAGCCCTTCTTCTGATTATCATCTGAAAGGGCGAAGAGAAGATCCGGAGAGTTATACGGAACAAGTGTGCCAACCAGGAGCACGCTGGTTACGTAAAAGACTAGGATTCGGTAAAAGGTCAATTTGATCGCGCGAGGAATTGTCTTGCGGGGGTTCTGTGCCTCGCCGACCGTTACTCCAACCAGTTCAGTGCCCAGGTAGGCGAATGTAGCGGACACCATCGTGGACCAGAAAGCCAAGAATCGACCAGGTGCTCCGTCCATCTTGTAAGTATTGAAAGCACCCGGATTTTTCCAGTAGCGGAAACCCTTGCGGTCATGGTCCGGTCCACCACCAAGCATGAGAATGAAAGATAGGAGGATAATGCCGAGGATAACTATGACTTTGAAGGAGGATAGCCAAAACTCGAATTCACCGAAGAACTTCACACCGAAGTAATTGATGGCGACGACAATTACCAGGAAGATGGTAATCCATACTCCGGCATTGACCTTCTCTGTGGGTATCCAGTATGATATAACCAACGCACCAGCAGTCATTTGATTCGGCGACAGAATGATGTATTTGAACCAGTACCTGGGTTCGTATTAGTTAGATCCTCTCGAAGAGAATAGGTATCACATACGTCCAACCAAGGGTGAAGCCTAGTGCAGGGTCAACGAATCGGACGGCGTAACCAGTGAAACCGGAGGGCAGTGGCAGCCAGGCTGCCATCTCTCCAAGAGCACACATAACCAGGAAAACGATGAAACCCACCCAAGCATAAGAAATAAGAACTGCACCGGGCTGTTCAAGTTAGTAAGAAGGTCCACGGGTCCATTTCAGTATAAGTACTCACACCAGCCCTAAATAGAGGTTTGTTAGCTTCGGATCTTAGGGTGAAAGTGGTAGGGAAACCACGCATCACTTACTTCGCAAGAGCTTCACCCGTTCCGATGATCAAGCCAGTACCAATAGCACCACCTATGGCTGTTCACTATCAGCACTTGCTCAAATCCGACTGATAGCCGCATGTACCAATCATAGTAATATGTCTCGCCTTGAGCGCACGCTGCAGCTCAACATGGTTGGGGTCATTCAGACCACTCTGAGCACCTTGCTCAATCTTGCCATCCTCGCTGAACTCCCTCGTGACGGTCTGGTCTGGGCATTCTTTGGCTTTGAGAGACTTCTCCATTGTGTTCGACGCGCAGAGGTTTGCGCTGACGAGGAAAAAGCCTCGGTAGGAGAGAAAAGAAATTTCCAAGTGGCAGAGCAGGAAGACGGGGACTGAAGACGGATTAAATGGAAAGCCAAGAGCGGAGAATACCTAGCCCTAGAGAAAGATAAGCAAGAGTCGATATCAAAATGTCTGGAGGCTTGGGGGAAAATGCACTTAAACAAGATCAGAGACTCCGGGACTTGCTTAGCCAAGGCTTTGTTTATGGGGTAAAATAATTCAACACACCTCAGACCACATCTGCACAGTTCACTTGGCTTCAAATCTCTTCTCGGAGGGTTTCGTCCACGACGGGCTGGCTGTTTTCGGCTTCTGAGTGCTGATATTCTATGGGATAGGGCTGTGCTTTTGATGTTTACTGAAGCCCTAAATTTCTCACATAAAGACCTTCAAGATAATGCAGGTATATCTCTACTGTATCCAGATGTACCCCTTCCCTCCCCCATATCATGCCCAAATTACAAGCATGAGATGTAGCAGCCACTCCAACCGGAACGCACAAAGCGGAGACATCGCCAAGATCGAACGTGGCTTTTGCGGGGCTGGTCATCGGCATTCGCCGGGAAATTTTAGGTTGCCCCATTCCCCCCCCCACGTTTTGGATATCAGGCTTTTCAGTTGCCTACATTTGATCCGATCTTAGAATTACACTTGACAGTTTTACAGAGCTGAGATCGAATCAGAAAAAAAAAACTTGAAACAGAACTTTTTGACTCAGCCGATAACCCCCATTCGCGGAAAGAACCCTTCTCAATCCTCTCTGTAGTCATTGCCAAGACGGAATTCCACCTTGGTGAGCACTAACCTCAACCCGGGCAAGATGCATGTTTTGAGGCTGAGCCTCTGTGCCAAGATCGTTCGCGTATGGCTCAACCAATCCTTATCTCTCTTGGCGGGTGAGCGGGTGCTCAGCGTGGCCTGGTCATATCGAGGTTAAGCTATAGGGGGGGGTGGGGGGATTTTTGAAAGCGGTTCATGTGGAATGTGTTGTGGATGGTCTTAGATTGTGGCGAGGGCTTGGTGGGATTGCCAAGGTGGCTTTGTCAAGGTTACGCAATACAACAAATCACGAGGACGCCTCGTGTACCTAATTTCCTCGATCTCTACTCCGTACTCTGAACCTACAGACTATGTTCCGTGAATATGCTATAGTTCCACGGAAGACACTCTTGGCTGCTTCAATTCTCCATATGTCAACAATGGTCATCCTAGTTATCTTGGGATTGTTCCTGGACCGTACTAGTGGAAATGCTGAGCCTAGATGACAACCTTTCCGATCCTTTGCGCATCATCTGAAATGAAAGGCCCTAAGATGCAAGCAAATTTTCTAGGCATGTGATGGATGGCCTGGATCGCAAAAGTATACAAGGGCATCGGGAATTTAGAGAAGCAACATGTGACAGTTTGAACAAGTCGGGGCCTACCCATTCCGATATTACCAAAGATTGGTGTGAAAAGAAAATCGCGCTTGCTGGGCGTTCATCTGAGCAAATTAAGCTCCATTCAGGTAATGGCGAGATGATCTAGAGCATGCACAGCTGACGTGGAAGACGATGGCCCCCAACCAACCACACTTCCACAGGCCAATCCGGCTTTGGTTGGGGTCACACCGATGCAGAGAAGGAGGTTCATGGAAATCGGGCAGGATTTGGCCTAAAAAACAAAAAGTCCGCAGCGAAGCTGTCAGTTCGATCGGTTCTTCATTCGTCCAGAATCAATAGTCACAGATGCCAGCTGCGACCCACAACGCTACGATGCATGACCAGCAACTTGGCTTTGGAAAGCTGAAATCGTGTTTCCTTCCTACAAGGAACATTTGAGAGGGTTCGCCTCTATCTGCAGGTCTAGCGCAGTTGGCCTGAGGGAACAGGATTTGGCTGGGTTCTGCCTCTCGCATGGGAGAATCAGCCGCTGTGTTCCGGCTCCCAAGAGCCAAGCATATCCCGGATTGGGGCTAGAGGCTGAACTGTTGGCAGCGGGTATTTGTTCCTGCAGTTAGGGGGCTAAAATGGAGGGGATGGCTCGCATTTACTTGAAAAGGTGGCACCACCGAGAAGACATGCAAAATGGCAACCCCTGTCGTTCGACAGGGTACAGATCATACTCCACGACAATGGCTATGCAATGACCGAGGAGAATCGAGCCAGTCAACATCTCATAATATCCGCTGTTGCTTGGAAGCTAGTGCAAGCTACCATTGACAAAGCCGGTTCCTGCAAGTACGTCCGAAGCTAGCAGCTAGGAGACATTTTCAGCCTGTCGATGAAAGTCAACGTTACCAGCACTCTGGATAGTGGAAATGTGGTCACGGTGCATAGAGGGGAGCCATTTTTTCTGCAGATTCACAGTCTTGAAAGTGTGCTGTGGCGTGCATAAGTGCATTAGGGCAGCGATCAAAGCACTGTCTATTGGATGGTGAACGCCGCAGCGGTTATTGTACATGGTCTTCTTTTTTTTAATTTTATCGCGCTGCTCGGAGGACTATGATTCGTTTAACTACGGTGGAATTTACTATCATGAGAGTTACTAAATAGTAGTTAATTTGGCTGTTTTCCACGTTAAGACATGGAGAGATGCGGGGGAATCGATTGCTGATTCTCCTGGCGACCCCTATATCAGGGTCTCATGGCAGTCGAACAGCTAGAATTTTCCAACTTCTAGCTCTTCAACCAACAAAGGGGTTTCCCCTGCTTTGCGTATCAATCTCAAATCAATCAATCAACATCATGGGTGCCCTGCGTCTCCCCCGCCCAACGGGCATCTACGTCCCTAGTTCACCCAGAACCCTCACCAACGACATGATATCTCCACCTCTCTCTCCAGAATTCAGCTTCGATTCCGAGACTGTCACACCCTCTCTAATCCCAGCTCTGGAATACATGTCCTCCAAACTCCAACAAAGAATGATGCATGTTACCCTGCTCATCGGCCGCGGAAAGCCCTATCCGACCGGCCAACCTTCCGACCTAATGATCATCCCCATCCACTCAATCGAGCCCCAAGCATGGCGATTGCTTGAACGTGCCATCGTCAAGGGCTCAAAAAAGTTCTCACTTGGTCCCAGCTGGACCGATGCCATCAGCCGCAGCCAATATGAACGCCAGGCCAACGATCACCTCGTCAAGCAATCCATTCTCCAAAACGAAGTCATCTTCAGCCAGGAGGGTTTAACTCTCCTAAGTATGGACCGTATCTACACCTTAAAGCATCGCATGTGCATCCTCTCTACCCGCCCCGTCTCCCGTGACAATAAACAATCAATGTCATCCTGCGTCCGTCTGCTTCACCGCATCATCGAGGATTTCTCCCGTCGCCCCTTCAGCAAAGCTTTCTTTCACCGTGTCTATGAGCAGCTTGATGTCCCAGATGAGCAGCTCACTGCAGTTGCAGTTGCGTACAAGAATATCCATAACCAGGATGCTATCATTCTTCGCGTCCAGCCTCCAACTCCAGCGCCTGTTCCAGAACCAGATCCAGCGTCAGTACCAGCACTAGCGCCTGTTCCAGCACCAGCGCCTAATCTCGCTAAAGTCGAACCCACGGTTCCAGTAGAAGTTGCAACAAAGTTCCAGGCCAAAATCCAGCCAAAAGCCCAAGCAAAAGCCCTCCCCAAAGCTGATCCCATCCCTATTCGGGTGAAGGCTGAACGCCCCCGTGAAGTGAAGAGATCACCCATCCAGACTGTGCGTGGTCGAAGAGTGCCATTGCCATCGCAGATGCGAGGCCATAACAAGCGTGGGCCCAAGACACCTCTTTCTGCCTCAGATGTTACTCCCATCACACGCAATGAGTGGAATATTCTTGTTAGCAAGGATATCCGTGCGCAGCCTAAGATTACCAAGTGGATTCCATCACCGACCGTGCTAGCGGCTGCTTGAAAATTGACTTTTGGTTTGGTTGATGCACAAAACCATTCGCTTTCATATCTATAGCAAACTACTAGACCTTGTTGCGAGGGTTGCGTCTCGCCTACGGCTTCCATGCTATTCCAGAGGCTTGTTGAGCTGGCCCATGAAGACACAGATGAGCACTATAGCTAGCCCATGTTGCTAGATTGTCTCCATCTCTTCCTCAGATCTGATCTCACCAATTATGGACCTTCTTTTAATAGGCCATTTTGGTGAAGGACAGGTTGGCCAGTCTTGACATACCGGGTGCACAAAGACCCAGGTGTTTGGACTGGTGCCAAGGAGTCCTTGGCGTCTTAATTATGAGATGAAAATGATTTGAAAAGCTTCTAACGGTGGAGGACGTTTTCAAATGTTGCGGAGTTCAACTCACATTGTATATAGTAGAGTTCACTTCTGTGGCTATAGAAATTTTAACCAACCAATCAAACGATTTTCAAAAATTTCAACTAGAACCACAGCCAGCCCAAATGCCATCCAACAATCAACTTAATCTACAGCTCTACATAACCCATGGAATGCTGTTGAGATGAATCGGCATCCTACATGCGGCATAGTTTGCTGAGTAGCCATTTGGCCCCGCTTAAACTTGGCGACCGGCGAACTGAGACACGGGAAGGGATTTATAGTGGGCGTCGAACGTTCAAGGTTGTAGGGTGGGAGCTATTAGCACATGGGAATCCAAGCTGTGAGTAATCCTTGGTTTCCTATCAGCATCGGAGCTCGCCGCTGTTCTACACAGCACACAAAATCGGGGGACATTAGATGAGATGTGGATATCCATGGTATCTCAAAGACTTTAGAATTCAGCTAAATCATGTAGAATCCTACATTCACACATACGCAAAGGAGCAAGTTGCCCGAAAGCACTTTGAATATGAGGATATACGCTTGGCAGAGCCGGGGCTTGGCGGGGTTATCCAAAAGTTTTAAGAGCTGCAAGCGTATAGGAACCCCTCTTCTGTGTTTTTCAAGCCTACTAAATATCATTTTCCCAAGAAATTTAGATATTGTCATAGAGATTTGTTCTGTCGATATCCATCATGTTGACATTTAACGAGCCCGCAGAAATCGACTCACCCAACAACCGCAAATGGAGTTTGCAACCTCTTCTTCACAGCGCTGAGCGCTCGCATAGCAAAATGCCAGGTATTAGAAAGATTCCTCTTCGCGCTATTGGAATTATTGCCCTTACTGCCTTGTTGAATATGATAGTCTGGGTGGCAGCGGCTATTGTGCTGGTATGTCTAGATAGCTTGTGTGGCACGGGACTGATTCGCTAATGTCTATAGAGTTACCATCCGTAAGTCTTCATTCTTGAAAATCACACAGCTTGGAGGTTATTTGATATACTAATTGTATGGAATGCAGTTCACTGGTTTCCACAGCTGCTCTAGCCTATTCTCTTGGATTGAGACATGCATTCGACGCAGATCACATCTCTGTATGTCGAATCCAGCCCAGGAGCAGACCAGATGATTAAGAGTGCTATTTATAGGCTATTGATCTAATGACCAGAAGACTCCTAGCAACGGGACAAAAGCCCGTTACTGTCGGCACGTTTTTCTCGCTTGGCCACTCAACGTGAGCACAGTCACCTCCGTCAAAAGTCAAATCAAATCTAACCCAGTTCAGAATCGTGATCATCACATCTGTTGTCGTCGCAGCAACAGCAGCAGCAGTCTCCGATCGCTTCGACAGCTTCAGCACTGTCGGTGGAATCATTGGCACCTCCGTCAGCGCTGCATTCTTGATCTTGCTTGGTCTTATGAATGCGTACATCCTGTATAAACTCGTCAAGCAGATGCAAAAGGTCTTCAATCTCCCGGAGGGCAATGAAGACGAAGCGTGGAAGATCGAGAGTGGGGGAATCCTTTTCTCAGTCTTGAAGAAAATGTTCAAATTGATTGACCGGTACGTTTTCGGTCAAGCTATTAATGCTCCGTATGTCTGACAAAGATCCATGGCTGTTCAGTCCATGGAAGATGTATCCCCTCGGAATTCTGTTCGGCCTTGGGTTTGACACCTCCTCCGAGATCGCTTTACTTGGAATCTCATCTATCGAAGCTGCGAAGGGAACATCCTTCTGGGTGATTCTCATTTTCCCGGCTTTATTTACAGGTCAGTATCTTCGTCTTCCTTCTATGCGGGCCCATGAAATCCGCCTTCAACTCTAACACCCCTCAGCCGGTATGTGTCTCCTTGACACAATCGACGGAGCCTTGATGTTCTCCCTCTACATTCAACCAGCGGCCAACTTCCTCCCGCAAAAGCCAACAAGTACCGTCTCAGACACCTCGTCAACAGCCACCGATCCAGATGAGCTCCCGCAATCGCGCAAGAATCACCGCGACCCAGTCGCATTCCTGTACTACTCGATCGTACTGACCACGCTAACCGTCATCGTGGCGATTGTAGTTGGCGTGATCCAGCTGCTCAGTCTCATCCTGAACGCCACAGATGCTAAAGGAAAGTTCTGGGACGGTGTCCAGGTTGCTGGTGACTACTACGATGCTATTGGCGGTGGTATATGTGGTTGCTTCATTGTGTTTGGTTTACTGAGCGTTTTAGTCTACAAACCATGGCGCAGGTGGATGGATCAGCGACATGGAAAGAATGTCGTCAACGATGTGGAGAGGTATAGAGATGACGATGTTTTCCCTGGCGATGTTCCTGGAGGCTGCATAATTGTGACTGGGACGACCGGTTGTACTCCGCACGAGAGTACAGCTACTGAGATTGCTGGGAAGGGGGCTTCGTCTCGCGTTGCTATCAAGGAGACTAGTGAGCCTAGACTTCAAGATCACATCATATAGGTGTTACTACATCATAGCCAGTACCATCTGGTTGATACCCTTTAATGAACGTGTTTTAAATATCTGTCTATCATCTATCGAATAGGCTCTACGGGTCTATTTACCCATGTAAGCATATTCCAAGGAGGGGGTCAATTACTGACTGAGGGATTAGATGCGGCAGGCTCTGTGGGTTTACCCCAGCTCCTTCCCTTTTAGTCAAAAATCGTCACCTACCCCAGTTTCCCCAGGTCCTTAAGCCACTGGCAGGGTATAAATACCCCCCTCCCCTCCCCATTTCTCTCTTTCTTTTCTTCTCTCTTCCTACTTCACATATCTTCTTTGCTCTGGGCTTGCACTTTCACTTTTCGAGGGTTCACCTTCCGCCATGGTCACCCTCCCTCGTGCCCCCATCCACCATGGACCTTCCACCATGACCCACATCTGCTATGGACCTTCCACCATGGACTTCCCCATCCCTGCCACGCATCAGGACATTCACCTTCCACACTGGTCACCTTCCACACTGGTCACCTTCCACACTGGTCACCTTCCACACTGGTCACCTTCCACACTGGTCACCTTCCACACTGGTCACCTTCCACACTGGTCCTTCCATCTTGGTCATGCATCATCATGACTCTCATCCACATTGCCACCTTTAATGGACCTTCAATGGACCTTTCACCATGGTTGCCTTCCACAATGACCACTGTCTCTTGTGACCACATCTATCTTGTTCACCCTCCATGTCCTTGCATCATGGCCTTCTACCATGACCTCTTTGAATGATGAGCTTTTCTTGTGACATCCATCTATTCACCCCACAAGACGAACCTTGCTGACTTGTTTCTACTAGACTTCATATCCACCCCATGTTTTCTTCCCATTCCTTTTCCCCTCCCACTTCATGACCAATGACCATCCAGCAGCCGGAAACTGTTCCGGTCGACAGGCTTGCAGTGGAAGCACTCCGGCCGGTAGTTTAAATGCTACCCACTGCAAGTTTCCAGCAACTGGGCGTGGCCTCGCAAAGCGACTCAGACGACAAGCTCATAGTGGAAGCACTCCGGCCGGTAGTTTAAATGCCACCCACTATGAGTTGCCGCGGGCAAATCAACAACTGGGCGTGGCCTCGCAAAGCGACTCAGTCGACAGGCTTA